CCCCCCAAACAAGAAACAAAACAGACCACCCACCACCAACAACAAACAAACAAACGAACAAAAACACACAAAAAACAACTACCTATAAATGACAAAATACCAACTTAATGGGTTTTTTTGCAGCGTTGGTCTATTCCTTTGCCATGCTAAAAGAAGATGTTTTTGTGTTGTGTATTAGGATTTTAATGATGTTGTTATGAAACAGGGTTTTTAAAAAATCTACTACTTATATATTAATACTTGCTGCCACACCAAACTGGCCCATGATCTGGCTTGGGTTGTTACTGGTTGGAGAGCACCACTAGTTGGTCCTACTACTTCTTTTCATCCCCCTATTGTTTCTGTCCATGATAGTCCATCAGTCTTGCTTCTTCCTTGCACTGAATGGCCATGCCATTAGTGTGTCGATGCGCTTCTCATTACTCAGACTCAAAACTCTGGCTTAGGTCTTCGTTTTTATCGAAACAAACACATTTAACTCGATGTTATTTACAAACCCGGCTGACCATATCAATAACTGGGTTTGTAAGATAGATGCAGCCTTACCTCTTTAGAGACACCCTCTCATTAAAAAAAAACCCACACCAAAATAAAACAGCAACGAGAAGGCAATGAGAAAGCGAACGACCGACTAGAATTGGGGGAGTTTATACATGATAAGAAATCAACGCCAATATGTTTATGTTCTCATGGTGGGAAAGGTGATTGCTTCAGAATGTCATAAAGCAGAGTTTTGAAACGTCTGTTGGGTTCTCAGGTGGCCTATAGTTACTGAAACGACCTCCCCGGTGTGGTGATAATTAACAAGGCAGCAGATACAGACATACATGTCATGACAACACGATGTTAACACACCTGCCAACCAGTACGTGTTTAAAAAGAAGACAACAGACCCCCCCCCCCCAACCGAACGTTTTCATATTAGAAAATACGTATGGCAAAGTACTATCATGAATTATTATGAGCTTTTGCTCGAGTTTTAATGCCGAGTGGGGAGGATTTTTATTAGTACATCAGTCTTTCTGCTGAGATGTGGTATCCCTCTTGGCCTGGGTCGGTCCTGACAGGCAGGGTCGGAATCCCGCCTCCTAAATCATCAGCACGTTTTGTCGACGGGGGTATTAAAGCACTTACATGCAAAAAAGGACACGATTGGATGTCCAACAATGATAACGAAACCCAAAGTAATTTGGAAAGGTGGTTTGCTGTAGGTCCCCTCTGAATAGCTTGAATTTATTGAATACTGAAATGTATTGTGTAAAAGGCTTGGAGGGGGATTACTTGGCCAATGCCCACCATTTTGACCCGCCCCGTGGGTAGAATCTTTTTTGGTTTTGATTAGTTGGCCGCTATGTGTTAATAAAGATTGTTGACATCTAGGTGTCAACAACACGCCACCACAGCTAAATCTATTTCTGTCTGTATGATAACACGGTGTCGATAAAGAGATTTGGCGCAGCAGAGTCGGTTGAAACAACGAGAGTGCTAATTCTGACTTTCCGAGATAATAATTATTATGGTTTCGATAAGATTTTGGCGAAGCAGAGTTGATGAAACAATGAGAAAGCTGAAACTGTCTCTGGGATATCATGCTGTTCATAATTAGAGCTCTTTGACGCATTTGTGTCCACAACACACAGAGACAGCCATGTTTTATTTTTCTTGAATTGCATGCAGTTTCTTAATCTTTGAATCGATTGCATTTGATCAAGGAATGTTTTGACAAAATTTCAATTCTAAATGTTAAAGAAGCAAACAACAACAACAATACCATTTTATATAGTTTTAACAATAATGAAAGGGTTCTTTTTCTCTCTCCTGAAGACAAAAACTACCCTCAGGGCCTAAAACAGTTGAAAAGCTTGCCGTCGATTTGTTAGATAGCACAGTGTCGATAAAGAGCGTTGATGCAGTTGTGCCAACGACAAAGCGAGAGACTGGCGTATGTGGTGTAGCAGTTAGGCACCTGACCTTTGCACACACAAGACGTGCGATCGCTTCATATGTGCGAGTTTCTTTCTGTTGGAACAGTGTTTCTCTCATATTGAGTTGAGCCCGCTGTGGCACTTACGGACAGGATAGAGGCTCGCCTTGTAAGCAATCTAAAATGTGTCGACGGGTGTGTAAAACCCATACTTAAAAAAAGGGGTTGCTTGAGAATGCTAAAACTAAAACTACCAGTGAGACAATAGAGTGTCGACAAAGGTCTTTGACAAGGTAGAGTTCATGACTCAAAATGAAGGGAAATGCTAGGGAAATAAGCACTTATCAGACGCTGCTCGCACTTACACTGCGCAAAAGATGGATGCACGTTATATGTTGGCTGCCCCTATGGTGAAGGATAATTTGATCTGTTTAGAGGGAATGGCTGCATACTATCTAAGGGTGTGGTTTTTTTGTTGTACATTATGTTTGAAGGTGGTTGGCAGGTTCTCTGGCCTGGCTTAGCTTGCTGCTCCTTTCCCATCACAAACGTCTGTCATCCTTATCTTTCCTTTTGTACTTCTTTGTAGTTATATTGTCTACTTACACCTCTAATCTTCGACACTTATGACTTATTTGTTTTTGTAAGTGTTGCAAAACGCTTACTAAAACAAAGACTAACGATTTATTTACGCAAGTATAATATATTATATGCAAACTGTTACTAAAACTAAACAAAAAAAGTACTCATGATTTATATGTTCTATTGTTTCTTCCTTTCACAGACTGTGCAGTCTTACTTTGTCAAAGCTGACTCTGCTCAGACCCTTGGAAAATGAGTTGTCCTCGTTGGGATTGTCAATAGCTGTCAAAATGCACGTGAGTAAACCCTATTTAATATTTGAAGGGAAACCGTTTGATTTTCTTTGTTTCATTTCCTGCCTTCCTCCCCGAGCTCCAGTTTGTTCTTCCCTTCCATACTTCTGTACTGTTCTCTTCCTCCCTCATGTTAATAGTACCCATTAAATAAGAACATCGAAAAAAAAGACATAAAAATACCGCTTTCGGGAGGTTGGGGGGAGGGGGACACCCTTCACTTTGGAAAGAAAAAAAAACTCTCACACCGTCACTGTTGTCACCGCACCTCCATCCTTTTTTTTCTAACTGGTGGAAGTACCAGAAGACTTCCCCCCCCCCTT